AATAATTCTCGCAACCATCACACATCTTCGTGGCTCCGCTCTTCATTTCTTTCGAGGACGTGAGACAGTGTCAGAAGCTGTTATTGGATTGTGCCTGCTTATTCGGGCGTTTGCGAACATTTCAGTTGCATCGGCATAGTTTCCAGCTCCAGATTCTGTGTGCGCGAATAATTCNTTCCAGCTCCAGATTCTGTGTGCGCGAATAATTCTCGCAACCATCACACATCTTCGTGGCTCCGCTCTTCATTTCTTTCGAGGACGTGAGACAGTCCTCGAAAGAAATGAAACCACCAAACTTACAAAACTCATTTAAATTTACCAGACAGGATACTGAGGATAGATAAACAGTGAAACAGCTGAGGATAGATAAACAGTGAAACAGCAAGGACTGCATGAAATGAGATGCTGTAAAGATCGAAGGGTGATCTTCATTATGCCATCATTAGACATTGTGAACGTCTCTCCATGCCCTCCACCCCTCCTTTCCTCTCTGTTATGAACTTGGTTGTTTGACGATTTTCACCCACTCACACACAGACAATCTCATACACGCCCATCCATGCATAAGACGAAGGGGAGAGGAGACAGAGTCCAAACTGCACACAGATCAAAGGGGGCAGCGAAATACAACCATGCACAGATGGGGAGAGAGAGACGGTATTTCTCACCCTCTCCAATCACAAGAAAACACCTCCGAGGATAACAATAGGATTTACACTGATGATGAGCCAACTCGAACCAATTATCGTTACAGAGTTTGTTTCAGTATCTCGCCACCCTCAGAACTCCACTCTCTGCCCTACACCCAGTTAGTAGCGCAACACTGAGATGGCCTCCCAGAGGCCAGCGCCAACCGCCCAGATGAGGAACAGGAGCTGCAATGGAGTCTTCAGTGCCGCCGAACAACTCTGACGGAGAAGCGGGCAGATATGGCTGCCACACCACTGACGAAGCCTGTAACTCCCAAAAGAGAGAGGGGTGACAGTGGTCCACCCACAAACACTCGGTGAAGAGCCTCTCAATAGTCCAGCCAATCGCAGATACCCTCAGGGGTAGATGCTCAGAGGGTGCCCCAGCTATGGYAAGCTCCAGTAGGCTGGCTATGGCTGACGCCCACGACGAGGGTCTCAGGGTACCGCCTGTGGACAATCGCCTCCACCAAACTTCCTTGGCTCCGAACGCTGCGTCGAGAAAATGAAAAGCCAAAAGTCCCTAAACTACAGGCTCAGTCCTATTAATAGACTAGCCTACTCTAGAGGTAGACCTACTGGACCGGTACCGCATCAGTTTGGCCTGCTCGGCCTGGGCCCTACCCAGCTATACGGCGTCTAGACCGTCTCTACAGCCCAAGGCCCAGATGGGCCTGCTGTCCTAGTGATAGCCCGGGTCTGCTAAGGGCAGTAACAGCTAAGGGGAACTCGGGCCGGCAATTTTCGGGTAAATTGCAGATATGTCTCTCACGAATTTCCCTCAGGACTGGACCGACGGTTAGTCCCTGACACAAACAAAATTACGAATCTGACCCTAAGACACGACTATACAACCTCGCAGTCAGATCTCGGCAGCAGAAATCAGCAAGTGCCAACAAACACAATCACACAGCTGTGTCCTTCGGGACATCCGTTAAAATTGGAACGATACATAGAAGATTAGCATGGCCCCTGCGCAAGGATGACACGCATAAATCGAGAAATGGTCCAAATTTTTGAAAAAAAAAAATAAAAAAAAATAAAAAAAAAAAAAATCACACAGCTGCAAAGGCGAAGAGTCGATTCATCCTTGAACCAAGAGTGAGCTTCAACTTTATAAAAATCTAATCCCAACTCACATGTCATTCTCCAATACCAAGCATCAAAAACACTACGATCAAAAGATGAAAGCCGTCCAATCACTTCGATCACGATCCCTCTTTGCCAATTCCAATCATCAAAATCACTTGGGTCAAACCAAGAAGGCTGGTTTCCCGTTCCGTAATTCACAGGATGCATTGCAAGCAGAGAGTCACTCTCAGGTTGGCCAAGTCATACAAGTCCGGATGTATTAAGAACCATTCCTGCATGTGTTGAGAATTTGAGGCCCAGAAGAGAGTTCCACACAGCAGCGTTGTTCTTTCATGCAGAGTGTTGTTCTCGCACGTGCTCCATTCCGAGGACAGATTATGTTAAGCACCACCGTAAAATTCACAAGCAGAGGGTTCAGCTGAGGTCTAACCTTGTTGAGAACTGTCGACTAATGTGAAATGCAGCCTCTGTTGAGCCCAGTGCCAGCACCGCACTCTTCCCAGACACTTTTCTCATCATATCAAATGTCCCTGCAAAGCAACCACTGATTAGCTCATGTACAACTTTGTGAAGATTTAGCATTTTGACTTTAGGTTAAATTTCCGTTAAATAAACTCCAGCCCAAATTCCTGGCTTGATTTACCATATGAAGCTTCAGCATAGTGTTAGCAATGTAACACTTTCGGATTCCCCTGGTGAACGCAGGCACCTAGAAAAATGACATTTAATCACACTGCACTACTGCACGCCCTTCATGTTTAGCTGCACACCTCGTCTAATGGGAAGTCTTGTCCTCCCAGGAATGAATGAGCTGACCCTTCAGATGTCAGTCTGTAGCTTCCACTCCAGTATGCAGGATGTCCCGCATCCAACACTTACTACGTGCATTTACTCGCTCGTAACAAAGTTGGGTACAGTTAGGAGGCCGCGTCATCAGCGTAGGCAGCTGATAAGCCCCCAATGAACGTTGCAGTTGTCATCAAAGTCAATTTGAGGGGCTCAAAGGCCCTACCTGCCAACAACATACCGCAGGACAGGTTTGAGTGGGGACCCTGACAGCCTCTGTTCACCCTGCTGGTTGGGATCGAGATACAGACAATTACTGCAGGACAGAATCATAGGGGCATCACTTTCAGCCATCCACTCGCGGAAGTGGACAACCGTTTTGCAACGATGTAAGATTGGGACACCTCTGGCGACAACAATAACAATTACAACACACAGTTGCCGTGTCAGAACCACCCCATCCTACTTGCAGCTCATCCTTCCCAGAACTATCCTTGTTACTATGTGCACAAAAACAAGTGCCCGTCAGCTACTAGCTCCCCTGCTTTCAAATTTCAGTTAAAGCACCACTACCCGTTCCCATGTCGGCCTCATATTTTTTTGGACTACGGTCACTAGGCTCTTTTCCCATTTTCGCAACAGCGGGAAAGGTAGTGGTGGTTTAAGGCAAGCCCCGTGAAAACACACAGTCGTTCTGCTAGAAGTGCCCCGAGGCCCGGCCTGTCTTTCCTAGGGCTATCCTTGACAATTACAGGCACCGAAAGGGATGCCTCTCAGCTGTTTGCATTACTGACTCCTCTGTTTTCCTATTTAAGACAAGGTGCATTGAGACCAGCCATGGGAGAGGAGGTTGAAGAGAGGGAAGATGGCATTTGTCCAGACTTCTGTATTTCTTCTCTTCTTCTTCATTGTATCAAAATTGACTTTTGCATTATGTCTACAGGTAGATCATAACACTATTGCTTAAGAATATTCATGGATGGGACAGGAAACGCTGCAATTGGGCACTTCAGTCTGGTTCAAGAAGACCTGGGATGGTTGGGACTTAGTGTGCTGGATGGGGCAATTATTATCACTATCACCACTTGTTCACTTACCCGCTACAACTCTAGACTCTAGCATATCTGGAAAGAGGACTACCACATGCTATATGCACAGCAGTAGGTAAGGCAGCTTATAGTTGGTTGAACAACAAGATCCTTCTCACGTAATCACACCTATGATGTACTCCAGAGTATTAATGGATGTGAAACTGTAACTTCTAACTTTCCCGTCTGAACGTAGCTGCGCAATTTGCAGAGTTCAATATCCGGAAGGGTGGGAGCTATCTCATCACATGATTCTTTTTTTTTTTTTTTTTTTTTTAAATAAACAGGTCCTTACGGTCCTGGCTCCATATCCATTCTGGGGAGCGTCAGTCCGGTTCCTTTCCCCCGGCAAGTCAAAAAAAGGAATACATGGTGAACCCCCTCCCGCTTCCTTCCGTCTGGCCGAAGGAACCCTGACCAGCATTGATCGCTCCTTGTGAGGAGGATTGACTGTCAGCTTGCCCTACCACTTTTCCTCTCAGAGTCTACTATGTCTCTGTCAGATATTACGTACTCCTCTTTGCTGTTGAGATTACAATCTCAGTTTGGTTTCCTCTACGTCCCTGTCCCTGTGGTGTGCCACTTCTTCCAAATCAATCTGTTGTCCACGACAGTGGCGATCTTTCCTTGTAGAAGCCAGTCTCTTATAAAAACTCGTCTCCTTGTGGCTATCCTTTCTGGTCTTACCTTTCGTCCTCACAGTCACTTCCCTCCATCTGACTCGAATCTCTGTTTCCGCCATTTTCAGTAGTAGAGCCCACATTTCTTCTCTTGGCACCTCAGTTTCTTCGATTGTCTTGGTGCATCTCCTCTTCCAAATCACCCACAGAGCCAACTTTCTGAGAAGATGGTACCAAACCTCCTTTCCTCCTTTGAGGCTGTTAGTGTTGTTAGACAAGATGTTGAGGGGGGTCGTCGGCGGGGGGGGGGGKGAAGAGAAGAGGATGTGCCACAGGTTACACACTTTGTTCCAGATCCACGCTGCTTCCGAGCAGTACAGGAGGAAGTGGGGTATGTCTTCGGGGATGTTATCAGAGCAGAGTTTGCACAGGTCGGTGCTGTTGGGGTCTGAGTGCTTCCTCCTCTTGTGGAGCCATTGGTTGGTTGGCAGAGCGGCGTGCGCTATGAGCCATTGCATACTTCGGATCCTAACTGGTCTGATGGATAGGAGCTTTGACCACAGGATGGATACGGGGACCGAGGGGTCTAAGCTCAAAATTTCCCTCCATTTTTCTCTGAGTCTGGGATCCGGGTCTGTGGTTTGTAGGCCCAATCATAACCGAATTTGACGTCGTATTCGTTTATCGATCTAGTTCTCCCTGTTTTGCCCTGTTTCCAAACCCATTCCTTCGGATCGAATTCTAGCTCAGAGATGCTGAGGTCCGGTCTGAAGAGTATCCAGGGTTTTTTCTTTGAGACTCTCACTTTCCTCAGTCGAAATGTGTCGAGTATATCGCACTGAGGATCTCTGTTCTGGATTTCCAACTCATTGGTGGTGTGCTTGGCTACGGGGTAAGAGAAGAACTTAGATAGATAACCGGGCGGGTTGGTTCTAGCGACGAATCTGTATGCTCTGGTCGGCTGGGTTTGGGATATCAGTATTCCCCAGTCCCCCGCTTTCCATGAGAAACTCTCACTTAGGAGGGGGAGCCAGTGTGTTGGGATGCTGTTTTGGATCCGCGYAAGGTKGTCAGAGAGGGCATGACAGCCTCTTAGGACATTGCATAGTTCTTGGTCAGTAGCCCATCGTCCTTGGTCTTCTTCCCAGATGTGTCTGACTTGCCACACGCCTCTTTCTACCCAGGAAAGCCGCCTACGGTCCTTGGAACGTAGGGTCCATTCCTCTCCGCTGGGGTCGGTGATCCAGGGGTTGCAGAATAGAGGTTGTCTCAGGACTTCTTCTCTGTTTCCCAGTGCGCCGTGTTTGCTTGGCATCATTCTCCGCCAGGCTTTGATGGTGGGGGTCCGGTATGAACTGGATGTTGGAGTGGGGTTTGAGCTTGGCTGTGCAGGGTTTCTCCTGCRTGGTCTGCCCRATTTTATTGTCCAGCCTTTYGCCATGAGCCAAAACAGACCGTTCATGTTYGGGGGGKAGTTGATGGGGGCTAGGTTTCTGATGCTGTCAAGCGCCATCTGGGTCCATGGGAGGAACTGTCTAGTCAAGATCTTGAGGATCCATTTCATCTGCAGTGCTATGGATTCCTGTTTGGGGTCGATGATCCCGAGGCCCCCTTCCTGTGGTTTCCTGATGATGTGATTCCACRCAACCCTGTTTATACAGGYGGTCCTGTTGGGAKCGCCTGTCCACAGATAACATCTCACCCTKKWCTTCARTTTTTTGATGTCSTYGTCAGGGGGGGACCAGATGGATGCCATRTACCAYAGTGKGGAGAAGATRGMTGTGTTAATTAGTATYGSCCGTCCGATTAGAGAGGYCTGTGCGCTCTTGCATTGGGCCAGGCGGGTGATTGCTCTAGCAATTAGATTTTGACCCATTCCTGGCCACACCCCTTCCTTGTTGATCATGATGCCTAGAAACCTTAATGCTTGCTCGGCGCGGATCAAGACAGTGAGGTCGTCGGCGAACATGAGTGCAGTGGGAAGGGCGAAGTCATGTAGCGGGTTAAAATTCCGTTCAGTGAGGCGATCGATGGACGGGTCTTTACGGAGGAAGGAGGCTATGGCTTCCATGATGAAAAGGAATATGGGAGGAGCCAGTGGGTCGCCTTGTCTGACTGATCGCAAGATAGGGTAGGTGTCGAATAGGATTCTGTTGACCTGGACTCTGCCTGTTGCGTCAGCATACAGTATTCTGATCCAATTCCTGAAGTACGGGCCTACCCCCATTTTCTCCATGCATGAGTGGAGGAAATCCCAGTTGACCTGGTCGTAGGCTTTCTCGAAATCGGAGAACAAGATTGCAGCTTTCATTCGTTTTCTGTGATCTTTTTTGCTGCCTCGTTCAGGGTCTTTACATTGTCTAGAATGTACCTGCCTGGGATGAAGCCTGCTTGGTCTATGTGAAAGCAGCTGTTTGTTAGCTTTGTGATTCTGTTCGCAAGTGCCTTGGCTAGGATTTTGTAGGGCGTGGTTGAAAGGGATATGGGTCTGTAATTCTTCAAGTCCTCTTTGTTTCCCTTCTTGTACAGCAGTGAGACCACGCTGGTACTGTACTCAGTTCTTTTCCTAGGCCTCCTCTGCGCATGCTTTCGTTGAAGAAGTCTAGCAGATCTTCTCCAAGGGTCGGCCAGAAGCAACTCCAAAATTCTTTGGAGAGTCCGTCTATGCCCGGAGCTTTGTCATTTCCCATCTGGGTCAGAGGTAGTTCGGCCAGGATCAGGGGTTCGTCAAGGCCTTCCGCCTGACTGGTCGAGATGGTTCTGTCGAGGTACGAGAGCATTAGTTGTCGAGCTGCCGTGTTCGCTGTGGTCGAGGGTGAGGGTGTCTTAGACTCGTATAATTCTGCGTAGAATGATGTGGCTATCCTTACCATCTCGGGGCCTGTTGTTTTAATGTTCCTGGAATCTGTTGGATCCTGGAGAGCCTCTATCATGTTGTTCTTTGCGTTCGCTTTAATTTTGGCGAAGAAGAATTTTGTCATGGATTCGTCAAGTGTGTAGTCTGTCATCCTCGCTCGGATCTGCAGACCTCTCAAT